CTAACGCTGATGCTGTCTAAAACCTACCTGGATATCCCAACACAATTAAGTTGTATGAGCAAAAGCTCATATTTACCTGACTGAGCCATATTCCGTATTGTTCTGCCAAAGACCACTTTCCACTTTAACGTTATGTTAACGTTAAAGTTAACGTTGTGAACTTAGAAAAATCCTTCTTGCCCTCCAGAGCTCAGGCTATAGAGTCTATATTGAGAAAACATGGGACATGAGCTGAAGATAAACTCAGCTGTAGAGCATTAGGTTAGAAAACAACCACTTGGGCTCAGCAGTTACGAGCACTGGTGGCTCTTTCAGAGGACCCAGGTTCAATTCTTAGTACCCACATGGCAGCTCACAACTGTCTATAACTCCAGTTCCAGGGGATCTGACACCCTCATACATGCTGGCAAAAGACCGATACACATGAAATAAAAATTTACAAACACTTATCCAAAGAGCCCTCCAAGTTAAACAGCCAAGACTCAGCTTCACTTATGAAACCAAGAAAGTCAAATGTAATGACACAAGGCTGTACCTCCAATACTCAGCAGAGACAGGAGGACTAAGAGTTCAAGGTCATCCTTGGCTATATATGGAGTTCAACCTAGACCTATCTCAAAAAGAAATGCACAACCGGGTATGGGGGCACACACCTATAATCCCAGCACACTGGGAGGCAGAGGCAGGCAGATTGCTGTGAGTTTATGGATGGCCTGGTCTACAAAGCAAGTCCAGGACACCCAAGGAAACACAAAGAAACCATGTCTCAAAAATAATAATAAAATAAACGAGAAAGAAAAAGAAACCAACAGGAAAGGTTTTAAAAACTCCATTTCCTTACAATCTATTGCTTTCCCTAGGGGCAACCCACTTCCCCCCAAAATGTGACTTTCTCTACACACTCTTCTACATATACAATGAATGCCCATTTTTAAAAGTCTACCAGAGCTCCAAAATCTACACTGTAATATCAGTAGGAGAGCAGAGATCTTTGTTACAGTTACTGAAGAAGTCACTCCTAGAACACTGCCCAGCACAAAGCAGGTCCTCAGTAAATCCACTCAAAACCTGAAATGGATCTGCTCTTAGAAGCAGTACTCATTCTGCTCCAAGAAGTTACAAACCCCACTTACATGTTTCTACTGGGGAACCAGACTTGAGTTGGTCTCCAAAGATACCTGCTAATAAACTAAGGTATAGTGGCATATGCCTTTAAACCTGACAGAGGCAGGCAGATATCTGTGGATTCCAAGACACCTTGGTCTACACAGACAGACCCTGACTCAAAAATCCAAAACCCAGCTGGGGATGGTGGTGCATGCCTACAGCACTCAGGGAGGCAGAGGCAGGCAGATCTCTGTGAGTTCAAGGCCAGCCTGGTCTACAATGTGAGGCCAGGACAGCCAAGGCTACACAGAAAAACCCTGTCGCGAATAAAAAATAAATAAATAAAAAATCCAAAGCCCTGTAAACAAACCACCCAAAGAGAATGGCAAGTATAAAGACATTTTTTTTCAATTTTACTTTTAATTAATAGTGTATGTATGTGGGTAAATGCACAAGTAGATGCCCATGGAGGAATCGGATACATAAGAGCTGGAATTACAGGTTGTTGTGAGCCTAGTGACCTGGGCTCAGAACTTGGGTCCTCCTACAAGAGTAGCAGTATGTGTCATCTCTCCAGAACCAAGGACAAATTCTTTAAAATGACCAAAACCTACATTCTCTCTCCTGGGCATTATTCCACTTTCCACTGTGGCAATTCTCCAGTCCCACTGTTCATTTATAATCACCTGAAGCTTGCAGAGATCCCTCCAAGTCCTCTTTACTCACTCTCTGGGATAGCTGGCCAGAAGTATTGTCAAGCTTTCCAAACAGTTCCGGATGCCCCCAATTTTGAAAACTCCCGCTACACTGAGCTCCACCTCCGGCCCTCCCCCTCCCATACACACCCAGGCCCTACACAACAAAAGGACCTAATATGTATTCTCCTCCCCATTGAATTTCTCCCCTCCACCTCTCAAGCCACGTGAAAGGGACCTCACCGTTTGCCGCACGCCGGCACCACCTACCTTAACGCTGCAAGCTTCCTTCCGCAGAGAAGCCATTTCTCCTAAGGAGGAGTGGGCGGGGTCCAGAGGAATCCCCTTGGACGTAAGGAACTGGCGAGGGCTCGGAATCAGGAAGCCAGGGGAGGCGGCCCCGCTCGCACCCGAGCCCGAGGAGAGAGAGGACGACGAGGAGGAAGAGGAGGTACGGCGGCGGGCTGAGCTCCGAGACGTGCGGGCCACATCGTCCCCCCGCAGGGCTTTCAGACGCTGGGGGCTGCTGGCCCCTCGAGGGCGCGACACACACCTGCGAACCGGTCGGCCGGAGGGGGCCACATTGCCGGGCTCCCGGGGGCGGCTGCGCTTGCTGGGACACCCTTCCGACGTGCTGCCCCAGTGGTACTTGACCTTGCGCCGCTCCGACGCCATGGGCACCTGCCACGGACAGAGGGACAAGGATTGCAGCGGCAGCCCTCGGGGCTGCTCACCGCACGCCACCGGGAAGCCTCCAGGGCAAGGGCGGGCCCCACTGACCTTTCCCGTTCCTGTCGTCTGCCCATGCCACTGCCGCGGGCTTCAGGGACGCCACAGCGCTCCGAGATGAGCCTACGAGCCGAGGGCCGAGCCCCACGACGCGCTGCCGAGCTCCGCGAGCGCTACTGTCAACACCCCGCCGCTCCCGAGACGCCGAGGCACTTCCGGCGCAGCGGCCGACCTTCCGAGGCCCCTCCCGGGGGGCCCGAGCGCGTGCGGAGCCGCCCTCCGGGCTGCGCGCGCCCGCAGGCCCCGGACGCCAAGGGCGGGCCGCGGGCGGGGTGGCCGCTCGGCTCCCCGCCGCCCCGTCCCGCCCCGGGCCTAAAGGAACCTCTGGCCTCCGGAGCCGCGCGCCGGAAGTCGCCTCGGCTCGCTCGCCCAGCAGACCCGGCCCAGCGCCGCGCCGCGCCCTCGCCCAAGGCCTCCGCCCAGCCGCCTGCTCCGCAGCTTCAGCCCCGCTGAACCTGCCCCGCGGCCGACGGCCGGCGTGCGGCAGGGGCGGAGCCTGCGCCAGGGACAGCGCCCATTGCCCCAACGGCAGAAGGGCGTGGCTCAGTGCAAGACGGAGCGTGCCTGTTGGCCAGACTTCTGGGGCGTGACCCTAGCCTTAGGAAGCGTTCTGGTTGGTTGGGAGCGACGTGGGGCGGAGCTTCTCACGTGGCTCCGGAGCAGCACACGGAGCCAGCTGGGGACGCTCAGGAGCGGAATGCTAGAGGGCGGCTGCGCCGGCGCCTTGGTCGCGGACGCGCGTTGCCAGGCGTTGTCACCCTTCTTTTGCAATGCAGGAAACTGTGGTTGGGTGAAACCAAGTGACACACCCAGAAACTGACGGAATTGTGGTTAGAAGGCACAGGCCACACACAATAGAGCCAGGCCTGCTGGACAGACCCGTATAATCCCGTTTGTTCAGGAAGAACAGACGGGAGGATTGCCAAACTCAAGAGCAGCCAAGACAGTTTTGACCCTACCTACAAAACATTTTTAAAAAATTTAAACAGGGTCCAGGGAAGGGCATGAATCAGCCACGGCGGCTCACATCCGTAATTCCATTTGGGTCACTGAGGCTGGGGAAGTGCTCTGAGCTGGAAGCCAGTTTGGGATATCTAATGAGTTCCCAGTCAGCGTAGGCAACCGAGTGAGACCACCTCTAGAAATAAAAGGTAGTGCCAACCTGTGATCCCACATCCAGAGAGACAGAGGCCAGAGGATCCAGAGTTCAAGGTCACCTACAATTACTTTAAGACCCTGTCTCAACCCTACCCTCCTACTCCCCACCCAGGCACACCACCCTCAGAAAAGGTCAATGGTTTAGCTGAATAGCTGAACACTCACAAGAGGTCCAAGATTTTGACCTGAATAAACCAGGTGTCATGCAAACCTGTAATCCCAGAAATTCCAGGGCAGCCTGGGATACAAGACACTCCACCCTCAACAAAAAAAAAAAAAAAAAAAAAAAAAGTTAAGACAAGGTAAGAAGACTTCATTCAGGGACAGCTAGCTCACCACTGTTGTGGAAGAAACATGGCACACTCAGCTGGCTTTCACTTGGGTTTTGTTTTGTTTTGTTTTTAGTTGTTCAATGCAGGACCCTAGCCTATGGAATGGTGCCTCCCATATTCAGAAAGAGTCCTCTGTAAACATCCTCATAGTCACAACCAGAGCTAGCTCCTAGGTGGTTGTTAACCCAAATTGACAGTGAAGGTTGGCCATCCTAGAAGCCATCACTGTTGGTTTTTTGGTTGTTTTGGGGTGTTTTTTTTTTTTGGGGGGGGGTGGGGGTTGGTTGGTTTGGTTTGGTTCTTTTTTTTTTTTTTTCCACGTAGGGTTTTCCTGTGTAGCCTTGGCTGTCCTGGAACTCTCTCTGGAGATCAGGCTGACCTCAAACTCATAGAGCTACACCTGCCTCTGCCTCCCAAATGCTGGGATTAGAGGTGTGTGCCAGCAACACCTGGTAGCTATTACTATTAGTAACAGTAAACATAAAAGCAACTTTAAAATCCACGAAGGGTTATACAAATGCCCCACTCCCACTACAGTGATGGCACTGCTGATGAAACCCTCCCGAAAGTGACAATGTCCTAACTCATTTGCCACAACCATGAGGCCTTGAGTTCAAATTCCAGGACCCACATAAAAACTGGGTGTGTAGTAAGGTCATAAATAATCTAAGCACTCCTATACAGACAGGTGGGCCAGCTGGCCTTGTGTAAAAAGCAAAAAAAATAACAAACCTTGTGGAAGGATTGAAAACTGAAGTCGTCCTCTTGATCACCCCAAGCGCACTGAGGTGCACACAGCACATTCACACATGAATGTACACATTACACTGTGCAAACAAAAAGTACAGACATAAATAAAAGCGGAGTCCTTGACACATGCTGTATACATTCACCCAGACACAAAAGTAATTAAATCTACTGGATTACAACACATTTTTATTTTACAAGAAGGTGGAATTAGAAATAGCTTTGTTTCACAAAAAAGGTTTGCAATGTGCCTTTTCAAAAACATATTCGCTGCAGAAACATTTTCTACATGGCAGAAAAAAAATGAGCTAAATGCCTTTTATTTATTTCATAAAAAAAAAAAAAAAAAAAACATGACAGATGCATTTTCAAAGTGCGTCTATAGCCGCTGCACCTTTCCTCCCAGGAGCTGTGGCAGGGAGAACAGAGCAGGGGTTGTTATCTTACAAGGATACTGAGTTACCACCCATTGAGTGACTGACTTAACTAGCAGCAGAATCAAACATGAGACTAGCTCTCATGACTCTTCACCTAGCTATAAATAATACACAGTCTCGGAGTCTCCATTAAAAAAAAAAAAAAAAGAACATTGGTGTAATGAGAGGACGAAGAGGAGAAGCAGGCAGCTCATGAATGTCAGTGGCCTGCAGGATTACCAGCTGAAGAAAGAGAAAGCCTACTGAGTCCTTGGCCAAGTGTCTTGCTTCCGTAATCTTGAACTTGAGAGATGAGTCAGGATTTGCAATGAGACACCAGCTGGAGGTCTTGTAAGCAGTGGAAGTTTGCAGAAAGCTGCCGCAGACGTAGCTGACAGATGAGAACTTTGGGAAACACCACGTGTGCTTGCTGCAGGCTGGCTCAGTCAGTTGTGGAGTTAGGAGCTTCTAGGTTAACAGCATCTCTTGGGGTAGTAATCAACATGGGCTCCTTGGAATCACAAAACCACCCAAATCCTCATACCAGGCATTTCACTTCCTAGCCCTCTAAGTTTCAAAGAGGAAGAGTTCTTCCTGAAGTTTGGTGTCTGTATAAATTGAGGTCCCCCTGTCCCCTCTCCCTGCAACTCAACTCTAATAAAACCAAGTTTCCTTCTGTTCAGGCTGGTATTTGGGTCGTATGGGTCTCAACAGACCTTGGGCAGCCAAAGACCTCTTCCTTGATTGGACACTGTCTATCCAGTTGAGGACAAGGGTCCACAGATGTGATCTGCTCGTCAGGGTCCAAAAAGCTCAACACTGTCCAGTTTCTCCTCTTTATAGAGTAGGATGTTCTCCATCAGCTTCCTTTTGGCCTCGTTGATCTCAATTTTCCATGAAGTCTCTGTAGCTGATGTTCAACAGAAAGTAGAAAAAGAGTAGCTTCAACAAGTGTTACTATTAAAATCCTTTAAGTCAGACTTGATCAGAATTTCAGGCCAGGTTTGTGAATCTGGCCCCAAACCCAGGCAGCACATCATGGCCTCTGCCATTGCAGGAAAGTCAGCACTCTCCCCAACAAACACCACACACACACACCCCCAACTTCCCAACCCCCCCACACATAGAGTTTCACGTGTTCCTCCACAGATAGGGGAGCAATCTGACATCAGCAATACTGAAAGCAGTTTCTAACTTCTCCTTCCTCCCTAAGGAAGTGGTCAGAGCCTAGACTACCCAATTTACAAGGCATGGTGACACTTCATTTAAAAGGCCTCAATTTTTATTTCACTAGGAAGCCTGGCATATGTGGATCTAAGTGCCAGCGACGGAAGGTGTCTTTAGAAGTGACTGACAAGGAAGATGAGGCAACCAAGAGGAATCATACAAGGTGCTGCTGGGCCCAGGGAAGGGTTTTTAAGTACCACAGGTTCATGCCATACAATGTGATTTTTAAATCACTCTAGCAGGGCATGATGGCACATACCTGCAATCCCTAAATAAATTAAGATAAGGTTTCACTAATAACCCAGGTGAAACCGTCTCAAATCATTTAATTTTTTTTTTATTTTGCTCTTTGCATGTGTCATGTGTATGCATGGAAAGGTGTGTGGAGGTCAGAGGACAACTTTGCAGGTGTCCGTTTTTTCCTTCTACTATGTGATGAACTGGGATCATACTCAGATTGTACACTTTGAAGCAAGCACCTTTACCTGCTGGCCATCACACCAGCCCTGTAATCCTAGCACTTGAGAGGTGAAGGCAGGAAGATCAGGAGTTCAAGTTCATCCTCAGCTACACAGGAAGGTCCATATTATTCTGGGCTACATGAGACACTGTCCCAAAATTAAAAAATAAAAAATAAACAAAAACTCTATAGGATATTACTTGCCTGCCAACCATGAGGTCCTACATCAAGTCCCCAGTACCACAAAAAAAAAAAAAATGCATGTATAAGTACATCAAAAAATAAAATCTGGGACTGGAGAGATGACTTAGCAGTTAAGAGCACTTGCTGCTTGCTCTTCCAAAGGACTCAGGTTCGATTCCCAATACCCACATGGTAGCTCACAACCATCTGCAACTCCAGTTCCAGGGTACCTAGCCTCCTCAGGTACTGTACACATGTTTTGCACGGATATATGTACATAGTTCAGACATAGAGCTCGAACATCCATGTACATATACATGAAATAAGATTTTAAACTTTAAAAGTAAGTAAATATCACTTTCTCTGGATCCTGGAGAAAGAACTTAAAGAGTCCGAAGCAATGGATCAAGGCTGATGGAAGCTACACAGTTGTCCTAGCAAATGGGCAGTAGCTGTGACTTGGACTCCATACAGAGACGGGGGTTTGAAGGGCTTAAGAGATAAGTGAGTAGACAGAAATAAATGGTCACTGGTGAACTGAGATTCCTCTTTGTGTAACCGCTAAGCAGTGAACAACTGAACAAAGCCATGACTTAGGAGAAGAGGGAGGTATGGCCTAAGTTAGGGTCACAGAAGAGATGCTGCATGGGCACCTGCCCTTCCGAGCTAGCTTACCGTCCTGCGGTGGCTGTGCACAGGCACAGGCCTCTGAGGAGTCAGCCTCCTGACTCCCACTGCTAGATGGCTGCGCTGTTCCGTTTCCCATGGAGAGTGGAGAGGAGGCAACCCCTGCACATGACACCACCATAACAGAAGAGGGGACACTGAGGCTGGAATTGTCAACATCATCCGTCTCTTCTGGAGTATTGGAAGACGAGCCTGTGCCTTCAGAAACCCTGCTCCAAGGAAGGGACAGCTGACCTCGGAGCCACTCCTCCACTGGAGCCATGGAGACTCGTACCTTGTGGGAGAAGACAGACAAGACCCAGACCAGGCGCTTGAATTAAAGCTGAAGGGGCTCTAACAGGCCAAATATGGCAAACACCGCACACACACCCAACATAGCAAACACTGCAGACAGGTTTTGCCCTTTTGCCTCTTTTCTTCTCCCTCGCTAAAAACTGTTACATTCCTAAAGCTAGTCCCCAAGGTCTATTTCCTTATTTGGCCATTGACTCATTCCTGAAACCAAACACCAAAGTCCAACAATCAAAATTCATATTTTGGTTAACCTGTCCAATCAGGATTTCCCAGCTCACCCTAGCACAGACTCCCCTCTCTCCCCCTTAAAAACCGACTCCTGCACAAACACCCTCACTTGATTTTCTTGTTTGCTGCTGCTGCTCCTGCTTTTGCAGCCTCCCTCGGGGCCCCTATTTGTCCTTCTGGGGAAATAAAGCTTCTTTGTGCTGAGAACTCGGTCTTGGGGTGTCTTGTGTGGATACTGGTCTTTTCAAAAGCCAAAAGCCAACACCTGGTCTTTTGGGATTTATAATTTCAAATGCCTGCTGCAGTCAGAAGAATAGCACCCTACCTTAAAGAGTTACGAACTTGACCCCAGCACCCAGAGCCACAGGTGATTGTGTAAGCCCAGGTGGTCCAATCACAGCACCCCATTCTTCTGATCACAGTGACCAGGTCAGGTATGGTCAGGTGCCTGTTTGTGTGTGTCTCTAAGATCTTGAGTTGAATGTACAGCGTCGGGTGTGCATGCTAGGCAAAGATGCTACATGGAGCTACATCCTGGGCCTTCTTTTTTGTCTTCTTATGTTTGAGCTGGGAGCTCATTAAATTGCCTCCACACCTTGAACTCACTTTGTAGCCCAAGCTGGCCTTAAGCTTGTGGTTCTGCTGCTTCAGCCTCTGAAGCAGCTGGCCTACACTACAGCTCACCGGACATACCCTTAATAAGAAACTTTCAGCTGAGTAGTGGAGGCCCACATCTTTAATCCCACCACTTGGGAGGAAGAGGCAGGTAGATCTCTGAGTTTAAAGCCAGCCTGGTCCACAGAGTAAGTTCCAGGACAACCAGAGCTGCACAGAGAAACTCTATCTTAAAAAAACAAAACAACCACAAAAAATAATAATAATTCCCTCTGTGCCCTGCAAAAAAATCTGTGTATAAAATGTAACTAATAATAAAAAATTTTTAAAAAAATTACTCTTAAAAAAATAAAAAATAAAAATTCCGTGTATAGGCTGGTGAGACGGCTCAGTGGGGAAATGTGTTTGCTGCCAAGACTGACAATCTGAGTTTAATCCCCAGGATCCATATGGTAGGAGGAGAAAAATAACTCCTGGAAGCTGTTCTTTGACCTTGTTCTTTGGCACATCTGTGTCATGGCATGTGCACACGTCCACACACATACACACAACAACAACAAAAAAAAACTTCTAAACTGAATTTTTAAATTCCATGTGAATTCACTTATTTTGCACACGATCGCAATGACCACCCCTTGCTTGCTTTATTTGTTTATTTATTCGTTTGTTTACTTATTTATTTCGAGATAAGGTCTTCAGACAGAAACCTGGCTGTTCTGAAATTCACTATGTAGACCAAGCTGGCCTAGAATCCACAGAAGTCTTCCTGCCTCAGCTTCCCAATAGATTAAAGGATAGAAGATAGATTAAAGGAGTGAAGCAACCACACCCAGATGCCATGGATAGGATAGGTGCCGATAGATTAAAGGAGTGAAGCCACCACACCCAGATGCCATGAGTCTTTATAAATATAAAAATATCAGGATGGAAGAAGCCTGCAATCCCAGCACTTGAGAAGCAGATACAGCATTAGGAATTCATGGCCACTTTGCTCAGCAGGATGTTGAATGCCAGCCTGAGCTACAAAGAGACAGCATCTGATAATAAACAAGCAGATAATAAAGCTAAGAGTGCTGGCTCATAATCCCAGAATCTAGGAGCCTGAGGCAGAGAATTGCCTCAAGTTCAAGTCCAGCCCCCAGGAGTTACAGTATGAAATGCTGTTCCCAAAAAGATAAAAGTTGAGGCAAGATGAATCTACCCTAGATAGGCATATGCTCCTGAGCCAGGGAGCTGGTTCCATCCACAGCATTAACTGAAGGAAGGAAAGAACTGACTTCCCACAGAACGGCCATGGACAAGTACGCTCACAATACATAATAAATAAATAAGTTGGTGCACGACAGAGCTAGCTGCCCAGTGAACGAGAGCCTGCTGGATTTCCAGGCCATGGATCTTCCAACACTGTGATAAGCGCCACCTCTTTTCCTTTCTTTTTCACTTCTCCCTTTCTTTTCTTCTTTTCCTTCCTTTCTTTCTTTTTTTTTTTTTTTTTTTTTTTTTGTATAGCTAAAATGTCCATGTCCTTATCCCCTTTAGTGTACATGGCAAATGTCTCATCATTCAAGATCTGATTCAAATATCAACTCTCCATGTAAATGTTCCCATTAGATGCCCATGAAACATACATTTGCCATGCTAAAGATTGCAGTCCTCTATAGCTATGTGTAACCCACAGAGTATGCTAAAAAAAAAAAAAAAGAAACATAAATAAATTAAAAAATAAATGATGGGTACATTTCTCGGTCATGTCTTTAAAAAGGAAAGAAGATGGAGCTGGAGGGCTGGCTCAAAGGTTGTGAGTATTTACTGTTCTTGCAGAAGACCTGAGTTCGGATCTCACAACCCAGAGCGGGTGAGAGCAGGAGGTTCACAATACCCATGACTTCAATACAATACCAAGTATGTAGACATGGTCTTTGCTTTGATCCCAAGTGTGGGGCATGAAAATGTTTTTTATATATCCCCCTCAGGAAACAGCCCCCGAGGAAAGGCGTGTGATGTTTGTCAGCTGGAAGCTGTTTCGTGAGAGGTGTGGTGTTTGCTACCTGAAAAGCATCCTTGGGACGGTATAAAATAGCCCCCAAACAAAGAGAGATAGCTTTGTATCTCTTGGCTTCTTCATTTTGCCTGGCTTGGAGAGGCTCCTAGAGAGAACCGGTCCAGAGAACACTTCGAGGTTGCTGCTGAGTTTGCTGCTGAGTTTGCTGGATGGCTGGTTTGCTGTTTAGCTAGACTTCTGGAACATGGATGAGATTGGTATTGCCCCACCACCACCAAAGCCCAATGCCCCTAACCAGAAGGAAGTAGTTAGAAAGTGTCTGTGTCTCTTGTCCCTACTAACCTGCATTTTCTCCTAACTTGTGTATGTGTGGGAGGGGGGCACTGGAAGGGAAGCAGAAGGATTTAAGAACCCTAAATAAAATAGATTTTTGAAAAATCTAAGCCTACAGACTTCAGTTCTGGGAAATCCAACACATTATCTGGCTTCCTTTGACACCCAAATACACAGGACACACAGGATGTAGACAAACACACACACACACACAATCTTTAGGGGATAAAAGGAAGAGGAACTATACAGATGTCTCATGGGTTAAAAGCACTGGATATTCTTCCAGTGGAGCAAGGTTCAATTCCCAGCACCCATATGGCAGCTCACAAGTGTCTTATAAGATCTGACTTCTTCTTCTGGCCTCCACAGCACCAGGCACAAAAATGTTGCACAGCTGTACATGTAGGCAAGATACGCATACATAAATAAAATAATATATAAAAGGAAGAGAGAATGTAAGAGTGTGTCCTCTTCTTTTAACCCTCTTTTTCTAGATGGAAAACAGATGGAACTGTTTAAGTAACAAATCAACAGATACCCTTGAACCCTGAAATGGAAGCTTTATAGCTAGCCAATTGCCAGTACTATGGCACTGCCATTGCAGTCCTAGCTACCTGGATCCAAAACATTAACCCAAAGGCAGCAAACTTTTATCTTGCTTACGCCAGTGTATTTTGCCATCTCTCCCTTATAGTCACTTTACCCAAGCCCTAACTGACACACTGAACCACAGATGGAATGAATAACTGAAGGTCTGAATGAAAGTGAGTTGTTGAAGAGGAGGCCTGCTGAGAATACATCTGATTGTGTGCTGCTCCTACTGAAATCCTTAGTGACCTCAAAAAGCCCAGTGTGCCTCCAGAGCCCTCTAACTCTGCGCTCAGACCTCCCACCCCAAACTCATGATAAGCCCGTCTGTCCACTTGGACCTCCTCCCAGGCCTGTAGTTGTGACCGCCTCTCCCTCCGATCAGGCCTTCTGTTCGGGCTGACCATTGTGTGCTTAACTATCAGTTCCCAGCCAGGCTTGAACCAGTGAGTCCTGTCCTCCACCATCCTGGTGCTCATCACACAGACAACTTGGGAAGACCAGGACAGCAGAGCAGGAATGGCTTGCTCAGATGGACAGATCCTCTGTAGTTAGCGTAGTTACTACAGTTCAGCTTAGGACCACAACTTGGACCTCTCCAAGAAGGTGGAGGAAAAGCCACAGGAACAGACCAGTAGAGACAGCAAGCCAAGGAAAGGCAGGAAGAGATTGGTTCTCATGAGAGGCCCCAGCCAGACACCCACCCTCATGGTCCCCCATGACCCACATAGCAACCCTGATGGCCGACATGGCTCCAGCACGTTCTGCTGTGGACAACCAAGGCTAAGCGGGCTTATTGCATTACCAGCATGTGATTCTTCCTAGGTAAGGCAGCAGGCAGCAGAGAACTCACCTCCTCCAAGCTGGCATTGCGCCTTCGCAGGCAGACACACACAGTGGTGGCCCAGGCCTCCACACAGGCCTCTGGAAGAAGCCCTGCCCTCCTCTCCAAGTGCTTCTGGAAGATCTCTTTTGCCATCACCTTCCCCAGGCCTGTCTTCCTGGAGGAGAGCGAGGCAGTAGTGCTGGCCATCTCACCAAGAAGCAAATCCTTCTGTTGGAGGAGAATGAGGAAGTCCAGGTGAGGGGCTGGGTGTGGCAAGATGTCTTGAAAAGAAAAGCAGGTGTCCCAGAAACACGTTCAGCACCCAAGTACTTGAGAATCATGGGATTTGCTCTGTGCTCAGGGTATTCCCTTATCATGGTCACAACTCATCTGTGGTGCTTAGCCTGTCCCACTTCAGTGACTCCATAAGAAAATGGGAACATGAAATGCCTATTCCTGGGTGTAACACAAATGCAAATCCAATAATGGGCCTTAAGCACAAAGTGTGACACCAGACAGAAAAAATACTCAATAGCCCATTTCCCTTAAATATGTCTTCCATTGCAAAATATATGCACAGTGAATACTAATGACCATCATTTGCATAGCATTTACCATATGCCCAGTACTTATCATTTAATATTTTTCAGAGATTTTGTTTTTTTTATTTATTTATAGGTATGTTTGCCTGTGTGGGGGTATGTATGTGTGAGTAGAGATGCTTTCTGAGGCCAGAAGAGGCTGTCAGATCCTCTACAGGCTACAGGTTGAACCCACTGGATGTGGGTTCTGGGAGCCAACTCTTTCTCTGCAAGAGCAGTGTGTATGCATGATTAACCCCTGAGCCATCTCTCCAGCCCCAATTTAATCTTACTTCTTTAAGGTTTATTTTTATTTATGTGTGTGTGTGTGTGTGTGTGTGTGTGTGTGTGTGTGTGTGACTGTGTCTGCCATGTGTGTGAGTGCCTGCAGAGGCCAAAAGGCAGCATCAGATTCCCGGCAGCTGGAGTTATGGAAGGTTGGGAGCCACTTGACATGGGCTCTGAACTCAGGTCCTCTGGAAGAACAGCAATTGCCCTTAACTTACAGCCTCATAAATTTTGGCTCCTGCTGGGACAGGCAGTGCCTGTGATAACTCTTAGGGTGAAAGGGGGCAAGAAGCAGCAGGCCCTGAAGGTTACCCTTGACTGCACCCACCCTATGGAAATTGGAGTCACAGGCACTACCAATTGTAAGCAGCTTCCCCAAGGGAATCAATGTGAAGGAGGAGGGGACCGGGACTCAGGTGGAAGAGCTGTGAGCATCATCAGGAGCAAAGCAGGATCATAAGAAACCCAGAGGGGCCTTTTTCTTTTCTTATATTTTTTCCCCAGAGGCACCTTTTTCTTTCCTTTTTTTTTTTAACCCCAAAAGCACCTTTTTCAAAAAGATGTTTGAAACATCTTACCGAGAAATATGTGAAAAAACAAAATGTGAGAAAAAAGTAAACTACTGTTGCTCAGGACTAACAGGAAAGAGTGCCAGGAATTACATCACCTCCAAATGAAGCAAGAGGAAGAATCAGGAGGCAGAAGGCAAGCTCATTTTTGGGGCAAAGGCTACAGCTCAGGTGGTACACTGCATACCTGGCATACACAAAGCCAGATAAAGAGGGAATGGTGATGTGTCCCTTTAATTCTAATACTTAGGAAGGAGGCAGGAGAATAGGGGTTCAAAATCAGGGGCTCAAATACTACATTTGTTGTATCAAATTATTGTATGCTTAGTTATTTTTAGTATATATATATGTGTATATATATTTATATATACCTGCTACATACATGGGTATTTATAACTACATACTATAAGACAAATGGCATTTTAAAGCAGGGTGTGATGACACACACCTGTAACCCAGCACTCTATAGAGATTAAGAATGAGGTGTGTAAATTCAAAGCTAGCCTAAGCTACGTAGTGAGGCTTGTTTTTGTTGCCTAAAATGCACTCCTACCTAGTCTCTGTCCCTTAGTCTATTCTAGTTTCTTACTCAGCTATCCCTTCCTCTACAAGGTCTTCTCCAGACTCCAGACATGGCTGGCAAAAAAAAAAAAAAAAAAAAAAAAAAAAAGTCAATGACATGATGATTCCTAATGCATTTTTGCTATACTCGTAGATTGGTGCCTAGCCCAACTGTCATCAGACAGGCATCATCCAACAATTGATGAAGGCAGATGCAGAGACCCACAGCCAAATACTAGGAGAACCAGGAGAACCCTGAAAAAGAGGGGAAGGAAAGACAGTAAGAGCCAGAGGGATCAAGGACACCAGGAGAACACAGCCCATGGAGTCAACTAAGCAGGGTGCATTGGGGCTCACAGGGACTGCAGCAGCAATTACAGACCGGTAATGGGTTTGAGCTAGGTCCTCTGCGTATGCCCTATGACTGTGTAGCTTTGGTGTTCTTGTGGGTCCAACAGTGAGAGTGGAGCCTGCCTCTGACTCTTTTGCCTGTGCTTGGGACCCTTTCCCTCCTACTAGGTTACCTCATCCAACCTTCATCTGAGGGTTTGTGCCTAGCCTTATTGTAATCTGTTATGTCATGATAGGTTGATATCCCTGGGAAGGGTGCTGGGTTTTTTGTTTTGTTTTGTTTTTTGTTTGTTTGCTTGCTTTTGGCTTGTTTGTTTGTTTGTTTGTTTTGAAAGGAAATTGAGGAGTCATGGATCTGGGGTAAAGGGGAGGGGGGCACTTGGAGGAATGGAGGTTGGGATGTTATAAGAGAAGAATAAAAATAGATAAAAATAAGATAAAAAACTAGGTCGGGTGTGGTTTTAATCTCATCACTTGGGAGGCAGAGGTAGTCAGATTCCTGTAAGTTTGAGACCAGACTGGTCTACAAAGAGAGTTCCAGGACCACCAGAGAAACCCTGTCTTGAAAAAGCCAAAAATAACATTTTTAAATAATAATAAATAAAAACTGAAAAAGTAGGCAGGTATGGTGTCATAGGCTTGTAGTTCCTGCTGTACAGGAAGCCAAGGCGAGAGCACTGCTTGAACCCAGGAGTTCAAGGCTAGCTGCGCAATATGTCAATATTTTCTCTCAGAGGGAGAAAAATAAGATTAAAACCTAAGCTCCACTGTGCCTCCATTTGCCTAGCCAGAAAGTAGGTGGTTTCAGGATCTAAGAGCACAGCATGCCTGACACCATCAGGGAACCCGGAAGTAAAGACCACTAGTGCCAGCATGGCACTTCCTGTACTCACACAGTCCTGTGAAAGCATGACCTTTTAACTATTTATCTTTGGGAAAATGCAATGGCATTCAAGGAAGGGGAAATTAGCGTTGTAACAGCTGAAGCACGTGAGTGGTTTGCAGAGAGAGAGAGAGAGTTACCACCAAAGAGAAGAGGCAGTTCACGGAGCCCTACCTCATGACCCTACAGGGAAGAGAGATCTTATCTGGCAGCCAGTATGAAGGGAAGCTTAGACTAGCAGCGACTTCATGGTGTGAGGAGCAGTGACTCCATTGTCCTCACTGCACACAGGGCTAGGGACAGGAGCATCCACGAACCTAGGCACATCTCAAGAGCCAACTCCCAGGACCCAGGAAATGCCAAGGAAAACTAAAGAAACTAGAGAGTGAAACCACAGGATGAAATCAGTCCAACCAAAAGGACAAACAGTCTGCATGGGACAAATGACCCACTTTATTAGAGCCCTCAGGGACTCACCAAGGAAAAGCAAGGCAGGCTAAGACAGACTAAACACTCACTCGAGGGCTGCCGCTGAATGTGTGGCTCACACTTGTAATCCCAGAACTTGAGAAAAGGCTGAAGCAGGAGGATTGCCAAGAAGACAGGCTAGACTACAATGTGAGACCCCACCACCACCACCACCGCTGAAGAAAAGAAAAGAAAGAAAAAAAAGAACAAAAGTAAGGATGGAGTGTGGCTCAGTTGTGTACACAGCCAGCTGCTGTACTTTCAAAGCTGCCCTGTGGGGAGGTATGGCCAACACATAGCTCTGGACTGAGGCCTGAGAACTTTGCATGTGATGGGCGAGGCTCTCCCTGCCCACATGGACGTGTGCCCAAGGATACCAGCCAACCGAGCAGAACTGAGTAAATCCTAACACTCTTACCAGGTAAACTGGACTGCGGTCCTTGTCCATCGCAGGGATTCCAGTGAGGACCTCCGCTAACACCTGGATAAGACAGAACACAGAGTTCGCTGGATCTAGAATTGTCCACAGTCAGCTGAAGTTTCAGGCAGTGACAGAGGCTTCATCTTTTCTGTTTGATTATTGTCGTTATGGTTACATTTATTTATTAGTGTATTTATTTGTGTGTGAGTATGTGTATGTATGTTGGTATCCATGCGTCACGACACCTGCATAGAGGTGAGAAAGTGACTTGTGGATCTCTTCTTCCACTGTTTGGGTCCAGGGCTGGAACTCATGTTGTCAGGCTCATCAGCAAGCATCCTAATCCACTGAGCCATCTTGACAGCGCCCCATCTTTTGTTTTTGAGACAGGGTCTTTTGTAGTCCAGGTTGGCCATGAACTTCTCAGTAGCTGAGGGTAGCCTCGAGTTCCTGATTCTCCTTCCATACCACCATGATTTTTTCCCCTACTTCATTCACTCACAAAAAAGCACAACCCTGAGCAGCCGTGAGCCAACACCCAGGTGGAAAACTGTGGTGTGTGTGTGAAGAGCAAGCCTGCCTTTTCATAGGATTCTCAGCAGAGAACCACAGAGAATTCACAGGAGCGAGTTGGGGATGGTGGTGCAGATGGATCTCTGTGAGTGCAAGGCCAACCTGGTCTACAGATCGAGCTCTAGCACACCCAACACCACACAGAGACACCCTATCTAAAAAAAAAAAAAAAGCCACAGAAGTGGGAGGATCCAGAGAGGCCTGAACTCCCAGAACTCCCAGTCCTACCGTGCACCAGCAGTGAGCCCAAGCCAGGGCTGGGAACTGAAACCTGGGCCAGAGTCTGCATCTGTCACGTGAGGTGGAGCAGCTGTGCTGCCTGATGAGCAACTATCCTTCCTGTCAAGTCTCTCTCACACCCTCCTGCCACAGGTCAGAGCCATGAGCAGCAGGTCAGGCACTGAGGTCACCCTGCTCTGAGGTAACGAGGAGCGCGCTGGCAGTTGCCAGGAGGGGGCAGCACAGGGCGCCACAACAGAAAGGGGACCGCTGCCCGTTGAAAAGGCACCCGCCAAGCAGGAAGGGACAAACAGGGGAAACAAACCCATAGGCAGAGGTCTCCTCTATCTCAGCCATGTGGTTCTGGAATGAACAAGTCCCTGACAAGGGTTCCTTAGTGGACAAAAAAATAAAAAAAAAAACAAAACTGAGATGGGGGGGGTGCCAGGGCCAGAGTACTTGAGTTCAATCCCACAAGGTGGCAGGAGAAAAGCAACAACTACAAAGAGTTGTTCTCTGGCCTCCACACCATGCAGTATGGCGTGTGCACATCTGCCACACACACACACACACACACACACACACACACACACAATACTATAATACCAATTTACATATAGCATCCCATTACTCTATTGTAAAACTTATATTTATTTGTTTGTTTGTGAAAAAGTCTCTTTACATAGTCCTGGCTGCCCTGGAACTCATTTTGTGGACCAAGCTGGCCTTGAACTCACAGAGATCACTTGCCTCTGCCCCCCCCCCCCCCCCCCCCCCCCCCCCCCCCCCGCACCACCGCCCCCCCCCCCCCCCCCCCCCGCCCCAGGATGCTTTGATTAAAGATGTATACCACTACTCCCAGCACCATTATTCTCTAGAAGCACCACGAACCCCATTTTACAGAAGGCAAACTGAGGTCCAGAAATGGGGTGGGCAGGTGTTACACAGGTTAAGTAACTGGACTGGGCTAGGCCATACTGTCTAGGGGCTAGGGGATCTGCCCTATTGGTTTGTTTTGACTTTTCCTTTTGTTTTCCTTTGTTTTATTCCATTTTTGATTGTTTTAAGATAACAGTCTTCCTAAATTATCTCGGTTCTCCTGGAACTCCCTCTGTCTCCCCTATCAGAGAGCCACTGGTTCTCAAGGAGGGCTGCTTGGCCTCAGTGAAGTACTCACAGGAACTTTGGGGGGCGGGGGGGGCATGGGAACCAGCAGAGTAGTCAGCCAGCGGCAGAAGGAAACCGAATCCAGTACACAGAGATCCAGCTAAGAGCAGAAGGTGGCCCAGTGAGGGTGTCAGAAGCAGATATGAACAGACAGGAGACTGTGGTCACAGAGAGGAAGTACAGAGTTCAAGGCTGGGAGGAGGACAGAGGCAGAGGCCTGAGTGCAGCAGTCTGAGTTTGGCTGCAGGCAACAGACAGCGTTTCCCAAGCAGGTTCTGCGAAACACTGAGGCAGAAAGACACACCAAGAAAGCAAGCTTCTACCATCAAGTGAAGTTGGGAAAGCCTGCAAAGCATTCTCTGGCGAGCTCAGGTCAAGGAGTCTGGATTCTGTTAACTCTATAATGAAAAATCTGCTTGGCTTTGCTCAACAGTGTCTTCCAAATTTATCTGTCCTCTAAGCCCTGTTAACTCCCCAGTCCCGTAGACTTCGAAAGGAGTGGGTGTGGCACAAAGATAAACTGAGCGAACTATCAGGCTCGGACCACACCGTATGCCCTGAGCACCTGGCACCCATCATGGACAGGGAGCATGTCAGAGAGGTGGATGGACAGACTAGATGAGTGACTATGATGGAATGGTAAATGGGTGTTGAAAAGATAAATAGAGAGCAATGAACAAGCATGACAGAGATATGGGTGAGTAGGCCAATGGTGTGATGGGAATTAGAAGTTGAGAGATAACGTTTGAAGCCCACAGACTCAACAACCACATACAGTCTCTGTATATACCTGTATACCTTTTTTTTTGACACCTGAGCCAAGAATGGTATATGCCTATGATCCCAGCACTCTGGGAGGCAGAGGCAGGCAGATGGCTGTGAGTTCAAGGTCAGCCTGGCCTACAAAGTGAGTCCAGAACAGCCAAGGCTACACAGAGAAAACCTGTCTCAAAGAAAAAAAAATGACACCTGACCTACACGGCTACCCCCTTCCCACACAAACCACACACCCACAAACTAAAAGCAAATAAAGCAAAGATTCTAAAAGATTCCCCAATAGGCTTTGTTTCCAATCTGGCCTACAGGCCACAGTCTGGCAGCCTTGGCTGTACCTCCATGCAAGCCCCATGCTTACAAACAGCTTGGGGGCAGAGAAGGAAATGCTTACAATTCCACAGCTGAAGATGTCCACTTGCTTGGTCAGCTGTCCCACTCTGATGAAGTTTTCAGGCAGGTATGCAGCTGAGGCCTGGAACACGTGGGTCTTCATTACGGTGTATTTGGTCTTTTTAGTGACAGGACACGGATGAGCCACTGGATGAGCCAGCCTGGGGTTCAAATGCTGGTCCAGCAAAACATTAGCACTGTGGGAAAGCAAGTGAAGAAGACCTTTGAATTCTGGGAAGAAGACGTTGCCATTGGAGATACTTTGGCCAAACCATTTAGCAGTGGATAATGTCAGCCCTGTGAGTGTGTAGGTGTGTGTATGTCGGGGGTGGGGGGAGCTGGTCACTGAAGACCCGTAACATAAAATAGCCAGCCCTTTTAAATGGGCAGGGCCTTGGAAGCACACTCACCCCACTAAATGGAAAGAGAGTTGAAAATTATTAGCCTTGTGGCCCCAGGTAAGTGGTGAGAGATGCAGACTCCCACTTCCCGCAGAGGTCAGCCCTGGCCAGCAGAACAGGCCAAGCACTGCCCAAGCACTGGCCTAGACTCTTCCAAAGCTGTTCCCACTACAGGCGCTGGCCTCCCTGCAAATCCAAACTTAGGCATCCTTTATAGCTCAGTTTGCTCAGGTTTCAGGGAAAGGGAGAATTTTTTTTTTTTAACTTTTTATTATTTATTTATTTTTGGTTTTTCAGAGATAGGATTTCTCTGTGTAGCGTTGGCTTTCCTGGACTCACTTTGTAGACCAGGCTGGCCTTAAACCCACAGAGATCTGCCTGCCTCTGCCTCCCTAGTGCTGGGGTTACAGGCGTGCACCACTGTACCCAGCTTGGGAGCATTTTTTAAAGTTCAAAAAGAGAAATGAAAATATCATTTGATATAGTCATAGTTGGAGAGAGTTAACTTACAGAAAGAATTCCTGAGGTGCTGGGGACAAAAAGTTAAGCTTCATGTACAGAACTAACCTTAGCAATATTTTGTTGCATTTATTTGTTGGGGGGGCATGCATGCCATATCCTTCGAGGGAAGCTCAGTGGGACAATTTGCAGAAGTTGGCTCTCTCCTTCCATCATTTTGGCTCAAGGGATCAAATTAGGGCCATCGGGCTTGGCAGCAAGCGTCTTTACCCACTGAGCTATCTCACTGGCCCACCAAACAGTATTTGAAAAAGAAGGTACCAGGCCAGACACAGTGGTAGTTCACATCCTAATCCCAGAACTCAGGAAATGGAGATAGGAGGACTGCTGTAAGATTAAGGCCAACTCAGGCTACATAGTGAGCTTCAGGTCAGCCTGGGCTACACTGTAAGTTACAAGCCAGTTCTGCTCTGCCGCAAGACTTTGTCTCAATAACCAAAAACAAAAACAAAAGCCTAAAATTTCTTTTTCTAATATCCAGCTACTCCAGTATCTACCATTAGGAATATATAAGCCACTTCAATGCAAGACTGGAAACTCACAACAAATCACGATGACCTGCAACATGGGGAGATAGTTCCATGATCGAATAATGTGGGGAAGCGGAAGAGGAATGGGGAACCAGGAAACCGTGCAATCTTAGGGATGAGGATTAGTGTGAGAGGAAAGAAAGAAACTGCAAATGAATGAGAATGCAGCTTGGTGGCGGAGTATGCCTGGCATGTTCAATACTGAGGTTCAAGCCCCCAAACCACATACACAGAAAGAAAAAAATCAGAAATCAACAGACCCGCTAAGCTGGGCAGTGGGTCAGTGGCCAGCTTTCTCCCTCTGTTCCTTTCTCAGCACAGGTACCAGTGCCATCAAATATGATTCAGGAGAGGAAAGAGCATTTGAGCTGGCATGTGTCATACGGAAAGGAACCTTGAGGAACCTCAGGACAGTTGTGGAGCTGGTTCTGCTAAATGTTTTATGCTCTTTTGGAATCTCTCCCATGCTACCAGCTCTCTTGCTCTTGGACATCTGACACTAAGCTGCTGGGGACAGAAAAACCTCCCTGTCAAAACCTATCACCAACAGACACAGGCAAGGTGGGTACTGAAAAATATTTTAAAACAGGGAGCTCAACAGCTGAGGTTGGGCACAGCTCCCAGACGGAGTGAAGGCTGGCTCATGAGTAGAGGGCCAAATGTGTAGGGTGATGTGTCCTGTGGGAAACTAACTTAGAAAGGCCACAGACATGGTGACTGACAGCTTGGCATGGTGGGCGTGAGCAGATAACACACCTTAGAATTACTGGATTTTGAGGGCCTAAGGAGAGAGCTACGGTCCCCAAGGGAGGGAGGTAGAAGAAGGAGGGATGAGAGAGAAAGAGAGAAAGCAAGAGCAGGGGTTGGCCTTGTTCTTGTTCTCATTCTGGAAAGTAGGCCCAGCTCATCTGGCCCTCTCACCTCTTGACATTGCTGTGGATGATGTCTAGGCTATGCAGGTGTTCCAAGGCTAGCAGAAGCCCTGAGCAGATGCTGGCACGCTTGGGCCAGGGCAGCGGGTCTGAGTCGCCCTGGAGGGAAAGAGAAGGAACAGAACGGGTCATTCCTGTATCATTCTAAAGCTTCCCAGCCTTTCTATTCCTTTGAATCCGTCCTTGGTCACAAGTCTCAGCCAAGTGTGATGCACTGGCTAGAAATGATAGTATTTGTATCAGACAGATCTACTTGGATACTCAACCTCAGATACACATGAGCTGTGTGACTTTGGGAAAGATACTTGAAGGCCTCCGAGCCTCAGTTTCCTCAAGTATGAAACGGAAATGTAGGGCTGGGGATACAGCTCAGTTCCGGAGCACTGGCCTTGTCTTAGATTTGATCTTGGCAGCAAAAGGAGGACGAAGAGGAGGGATGCTGGGGATTTAGTTCAGTTATAAACTGTCCGCTACCATCCACAAAGTCCTGGGTTCAAGTCACCAACCCTGCATAAATCAGGCACAGTAGCTCATGCTTAGACCCCTAGCACTTGGGAAGCAAAGGCAGAAGGATCAGAAATTCAATGACATTGTCTGCCATATAGTAAGCTTGAGGCTAGCCTGGCTACTGGTGATCCTGTCTTGAAAAAAAAAATCATAAATAAAAATGAAATGAAATAAAAGGCATATATCCATGTCTGTATTGAGGGTTTTCTGAGTTTTCAAGAAAGTTCACACACTTCTAAGACCTTAACTTGACCCCTGGGCAGGAGCTATCTGCTCCACTCTCTGACCACAACCCAAGACCCAGTGGTTAAGTTTACCTGAGCCTGGAGCCTGTCCTGCAGAGAGCCATTTGCCATGTAGGGGTAGATGAGCCCGTAGAACCGATTTCCAGTGCAGAAGCCCAGCAGAGGTAGGATGCTGGGGTGGCGGCATCTGAACCCAGCACCAGTGGACAGTCAGCCATTAAACAGCAAGAGCCAGACCCTCCCTTCCCAGCCCAGGCCACCAGCCACCTCCCAGGTGCCACAGGCTCTGGACCCTGATGGCCTCGTCCTACTTCCCTGCTGTTCAGTCCAGCACCGTCCCCACCCCACTTCTGGGAAAAGGCTGAAGGATGTTTTAACTTGCTCTAGGCCGCCACACCCGCCTCAGCCTCAGGTTGGTTTAACTTGGGGACTCCCGCTGTCTGAGTCACCTTCCTCCTCTTGGCTTTCCTCGTAGCTCTGGCCCCATCTCATGTTCCACATGTGAGCCATCCACGTGCCTCTCTGGGCAAAGGACACTTCTCTTCTGCCTCCCAGAATCACCAAAGTTGTATACAGCTTTCTACACCCTTCTCGAGGTCACAGCCCAGCCTACCTCCCTGGCTCAAATGGCCTCGTGCCAGATCTTGCTGCCTTCCTGTGCTCTACATCACTTCACACCTGTCTCATTCACTAGTCATCTGCGTGCCTGTCCGTACTGCACCATGAGGCAGGGGGCTGCCTGGCTTCAAGTGAGCACTCCCTGTAATATGGCAAAGCCTGTGCTACCAATGAAGGTAGGAGTGACCACCGAGCCCATGAGAGCACAGAGTTGAAGCAAGGGCATAACTACATGCCTGGTTTTCATAAAACGAGTGTATACATGGTTCCACACATTTGTGTTCTTTCACATGTATGACTAGAGAAAGCATTATGAAAAAACAAGCTAGCTGGATGTGGTGGGGCACAACTTTAATCCTAGCACTCAGGAGGGCAGAGGCAGAGAGATCTGTGAGTTAGCACCAGCCTGGTCTCCATGGTGAGTCCCAGGACAACCAGAGCTACAGAATGAAAGAAAAAAAGAATGAAAGAAAAGAGAAATTATTTTTCTTTCTTTCTTTCTTTTTTTTTTTTTTTTTTTGAGAAAAAAATTAAAAAAAAAAAAAAAAAAAAGGAGAGGAAAGAAAAAAACAAACTACGGCTGGAGGACCCAGGAAGCTGAGGCACAGGTATTACAAGTTCTAAACAAGACTAAGCAACTAGTGAAAACCTGACACAATATAAAAAGAGGGCTGAGGCTTTAGCCCAGGGATCAAGCTACCAAGCATATGGAAAGTCCTAGCCAGGCTTAGTCTTCAGTACCACAAGGAACAAATGCCACTAAACCCCAAAACAACAACCAAAAGTAAAAATTAGAAAATCACTACATCTGACAGCTCACAGATATCCACCTGCCTCTGCCTCCAACAAAGGGAACCTTTGAAGGCTTTATTACTTTACACCTGTAATCTTTGCAGGGCATTGAGGCAGGGAGCTGCTAGGACTGGAACTCGGGGCCCTCCTCATGCCTGGCTACATCTCCAGCCCCGCAGGCAGCTTATGAAGAGTGAGTTAGTAAACATGTATTCTCTGCAGACTGTAGACTAAAGCAACCGTCCTACTGTGTGCTCTGTCCAGAAGGAACCGTAAACACTGCGGACACTGGTGGACGGAGCCATGTTCCAATAAAACTTTATGTCATCTCATGTCCATGGCCCCTGAGATATTCTTCTTCTAGTTTGTTTCAGCCACCTTAAAATATAAAAACCGGGCCATCCAACTGTACTGGCACACACCTTTAATACCATCACTTGGAAGGCAGAGGCAGGTGGATCTCTGAGTTTGAGGCCAGCCTGGTCTACAGAGAAAGTTCCAGGCCAACCAGGCTACAGAGCAAAACCTAGTCTCAAAAAAACAGAGTAAAATTTAAAAATAAAAGCCATTCTTTTCTCTCAGGCTATACAACACACACAGAGGCAGATTAGTTCTAGAAAGCTAGTGTTAAGATGGGTCTGCCATCAGACTACCAGCCCGTTTGCCTGTTTCAAAATGGGATAGGAAGGGTCTCTTTCTCCATACATGAAAGATGCTAGAACAAGCCAAGGTTTCATGAGCATTCTAACCCAAGCATATATTTGCTGCATAAAAAGAACATGGACTTTGGACACAGCCCATAAAGACACACACTCTGACCCTGCCACTTAGTAGCTGTGTGGTCTTAGGTCTAACAGTGACCCTCTCTGGGCCCCAACTTATATACCTAGTACAGCTGTGGCCTGGTATCTGTGTTGTAGCTTTCTGGTGAAGATGGAATGAGCTTGTCTCTGCTATGACTTTCAACATGTGCCCCAAAGTTTTTGTGTTGGAAACTTAACCCCCAAATTTATAGTCAGAGGTATCTGGAGGCAGGGTGCTTAGGAGTAATTAGGATTAGGTGAGGGCATGAATACTTCTTGTATAGACTGAGGTGCAGTTTATACAAGACTCATTGTGTGTTGCCCACTGCCATGGTACCCACACTGAGGGAGGCCTCACTGGATGGCTTCTGACTTCCCACCTCTAGAACCATGAAATAAGCAAACTTGTGCTCTAGAATCTACCCTCTCTGTGACAACTCAGTGACAGCAATAGAAAACAGCCTAAAACAATCATGGCCGCACTAACCGCCTGCCTGGCACACAGGAGGCACTGCGTTGCCTGCCGTCATCATCGGGCCAGGGCCTCTGTACAGGAGACTTACCTGTGGCATTGCTGCATCTCCGCCTGCAGGAACCTGTCCAGAGACCCTGGACTTGAGCCGGCCATCTGTGGGAAAACATACAGCCCCTGAAGATCCATCCAGCCTCAGCCACAGGCCCCACTCTCCCTGCAGACGCCCTCAGCTCACCTCCCTGAGCTTCTTGAAGGCGAAGGCCACACCATGCCTTTCCCCCCGGTAGATATCAGCAAAGGTCCCCTCACTGATTCGGTGGCTTTGGTCAAAGTCTTCAGTTGCTTGGATGACATCTGCCTCACTCCAGAAAAGCCTGTCTCCAGGCAAACTCAAAAGCTTCTCCTGCTTGTGGATGGACGTGGAAGTGCTGAGATTCTGGAAGTTGAGAGTGAAGAATGGGTGATGACCAGGGGAGCTGGCCTTGCCTGCTCCCCAGGGAGACCCTGTATTACTAAGGGGCATTCACATCTCGCTATAAATGTTAACAAAAATACCACAGGCCTGTCCTTATACCTTCACCCTCTAGGCCTCCAGAGTTCTGGCAAGCAATGTGTACGTTCAAATAACCACACAATTCTCTAAGCAGGGCTTTGGAGATTGACACATATGGAACCATGAAGAGAAGCCCCCTTTTCAAATACAGGTGCACAGAAATTTTTATTTTTGAAGTTACATAAGTCCTTATTAATAGTTCTAGAAAACAGTTCTAGAGAAAAATGGGCAATTAAAGATGAACATGTCTCCTGCCAGTTAGATACACTAGGGTTTGTTTATCAAAAAACGAGAATGGGGTCAATAAGATGGCTCACTAGGTAAAGGCTCTTGAGAAGCCTTGTGACCTGAGTTCAATCCCTAGACATAAATAATAAACTCCTGAAAGTTGTCCTCTAACTCCACATGTGTGCTATAGCATACACATGCTCTCACATGTACCCATAAATACGTATGTACAGACAGACTAAATAAATAAATGTAGAATTAAATTTTAAAGATGATGCGCAAAAAAACCAAAAAGATGGAAAAAATAAAATGTTAATAGAAACTTTTTATTTTTATTTTTTTTAGTCAGAGTTTCCCTATGTAGCCCTGGCTACCCTGGAACACTCTATGTAGACCAGGATGGCCTCAAATGTTCAGAGACCTGCCTGCCTCTCCTCCACTGGTTGGGACTAAGGTTCTCAATGACTCAACCATCTCTGAAATGATTAACTAAGGTTCAGAAGACATTTTTTAACCAGCCCCAGGAACTGCTGCTTTCTCTCCCAGGTACCAAGCCCAAACCCATAACTTCTCAAGAACATAGAGACCTTTCACATCTAAAACAAAAGCAAAAACATGGTTTCATTGATCCAGGCATGGTTGCTCACACCTTTAACACCAGCACTCAGGAGGCAGAGGCAGGTGGATTTCTGAGTTTGGGGCCAGCCTGATCTACAAAGCAAGTTCCAGGACAGCCAGGACTACACAGAGAAACTTTGTCTCCAAATAACAAAACTAAAAACAAACATACAAACAAAAAAAAACAGTTTCACTATGTTGATCCGGTTAACCTGGAACTCACTATGTATACCATGGTAGCCTCTAAGTCACAGAGAATTGCCTGCCTCTGCCTCCCAAGTGCTAGGGTTAAGGGCTTGTGCCTCTACTCCAAGCTTTATCTTTTCAACTCACAAGAAAGATCTGGCCATGGTTGCACATGCTTATGATCACGGCATTTGGGACACAAAGGTGGGAGGATTCACAAATCCAGACTGAGCTACATAGTGAAACCTTGTCTCAAAAACAAATAAGGAGCAGCTCAGTTGGTGGAGTGCTTGCCTGACATGCATGGGCCTTGAGTTCCATCCTTATCAAATACAAATTCTGGGTATGGTGGCACATCCCTGTTAGCCAATAACCTGGGAGGCAGAGGCAGGAGAATCCAAAGTCCAAGGTTATCCTCAGCTATACAGCAAGTCTGAAGCCATTCTGGGCTACATGGAACCCTGTCTCAAAAAGAGCAAAGAACTATTTCTCCCCCCTCCCCCGGGGTTGTACCACAGAGCTTCACCCCAGCCTGATGCTTTCATTTCTAACCCAGCATGAATCATCTTACTACTAATATAGTTACAACACTATCCGGGAGCATTAACAAATAAGGGCTGAAAGTATCCAGAGGAGTAAAAAGTCATCGTCTTCTAGAACCTAAGTCTCAGAAGCGGGGAGAGATGTTCATGGGTTTCCTCCTCCTCCTCCCTACCCCCACACTAGTCTTAAGAAATAAAGAAACTGTGTTTCTAAGAGGACCACAAGCCGGGACACAACTGGGATAGAAGCAAAGTGTGGGTTTACCTTAGATTGGGAGGAGTCAGGCAGGTCAGTTTGTAAGGAACAAGGGGCATCCTCCTTGCATGGAAGCTGGTGAGAGGCCTGCAGCCGGACCCCAGCCGTGGTGGTACCTGGAAAGGATGACAGGGTCAGCACTCTTGCCTGGGACTCATCCCAAAGCAACCTTCTCTCTCAATCAGTGCTGTCACCTCCCGACACCATGCGCCAACCGACAAGCTCCTTGGGTGTCCGTTCATTTGAGCCTGGTGACATCTTAAGACAGGTACAACTCATCATCTCTGATGACAGGAGGGGAGCAGGAAGTGGGAGGTGTTCAGAGCAGCCCAGGGGGAACCCCCTCTGCTGTCCAACTGCCAGGCAGAGAACAGAGAAGCTCCCACAGTGGTCCCACAGCAGATGCCATCCACCGAGCACTCCTCAGGGGAGAGTAAGATCGGGAGCAGAAGGAGTCACACAGGCTGGGCAACAGGGAGCATGCCACCTGAAGGACTGGGGAACTTAGGGGTACTGAAGGGAGCACTCATTCAGGAAATACCGAGGCACAGTTGGTTAGTAAACACCTCCATCCTGTGGGCACCAGCAACCAAGGGACGCTCACGCATGTACCATGCTACTTTGCAGCCGGGGCTTGAGTATCCATAGACTCTGGTACCCTGAGGAGTCCTGGAACCAGCCCCTCAGTGGACACTGGATCATCACAAGTCTAATCATCACTGGAGCTGTCTGATGACAGCATGAACACTCTACTCTTGTGGGGTTTGTTTGTTGTTTTTGTTTGGTCGGTTGTCATATTTGGTTGGTTGGTTGGTTGGTTTTGTTTTAGGTTTTTGGCTTTGGTTTTGGTTTTTCATGACAGGGTTTGTCTGTGTAGCCCTGGCTGTCCTGGAATGTTCTACAGACCAGGCTGGCTCTGTCCCCCAAGAGCTACGATTAAAGGCTTGTGCCACCATCATCCAGCCAGGATTTCCCATTTTTAAATGTTTTAAAAGACTTGTCTGAGGCAGATGGTGAGCCAAGGCAGAGTAACACAGCAGGCGAAGTAACCATGGACCATGGATGGCGCCTGGACAACAGTACAGTCTTCAGTGCACTGCTTTGTTTGTATAGACTCCACAGATTCATGATAAGAAACTAGACATACAACACCACACACCACGTACCATGCCACAACATACACCACACCGACACACCATGCCACACACAACATACACTCACAACCATACATACACAGCATACCTATAAGCCACACCAAACTCCACAGCACATACACTACACATACACACCCTCCCACACCATACCACATACATAACACACATACCACACACATACTCCATATACACATAAACCATAAACCACATCACACACACATACCACACCCATAAACCACACCAAACTCCACACATCTCACACACGTGCACACAACTCTCCCCCCTCCCCACTACACCAAAAACATTACACACAGCACACACACAGTCACCACAGCTGGCTCCCAGGGGCCTAGTGTGTGGCCTTCAGTCTGCTCAGTGATACACACGTTTATAGGAGACAGGGACACATTGCAGGGCCCATTCATCTCGACATAAAAGTCTCCAAAACAAAAACCCTCCGTGCCCCAACTTTTCCTCTATGACAAAAAAAAAAAAAAAAAAGCTCCCTCAAACAAACACCAGCTTCCCCGCTTCCCCCAGACAGGACAGGAGCCTGGAATCTGGGGATTTCCCAGGGCTGACAGGCCTCAGTAAAAGGAAAAAAATGGCTCCTCCTGTCTCAACTACAAAAACAAGAGTAACTTCCGCTTCTGTGGGAGGGACTGCAGGGACAGGCCAAGTGGCCCAGGCACACCTGCTCCCCAGGGCCACTCAAAGTGAGCCACACAAGGGCTGATGGTGAAAGTACGGAGAGGGGCACCTGTGACACCTCCATTCTCCCCACCCCCATCTCCTCGCACTGTCTTTCTCCCTTTGGCAAAGGAACAGCAGTATGGCATGGGTCATTCACAGGTCAGCACGTTTTTCCCCTTTCTTTAGTATCGTTAGTTACAGGAAATAGCCCTCGGCCTAGCACTAACTGCCTCTCCAGCACCCCTCCTCTCTGTCTCTCCCTTTTTGAGATAGGGTCTCACTATGCAACCCTGGCCTGGAACTGGTTATAGAAACTGTAGAGGGTCCTAGAGCTCACAGCCCGACACCAGGTGGGACCTAGACCATGCTAGATCCTTCCCTAGCATTCTTTTTTCTTTTATTTTTCTTTCTTTCTTTCTTTCTTTCTTTCTTTCTTTCTTTCTTTCTTTCTTTCTTTCTTCCTTTCTTTCTCTCTCTCTTTCTTTCTTTCTTTTTTTGGGGGGTGGTGACAGAGTTTCTCTGTGTAGCCCTGGCTATACTGGAACTCACTCAGTAGACCAGGCTAGCCTCAAACTCACAGAGATCCGTCTGCCTCTGCCTCCCTGGGATTAAAGGCATGCGCTGCCACAGCCCAGCTAGAATCTTCAAAGTCCTTACAGCCAGCCCTAACCTGATGGTGCTGTGTTTATCTCCACCCAGAACAAAATGTTCTATTCCAGTCGCTGGAGTGCTCAGACCTAATCACAGGTCCCCTGTGATAACTAAGGACAATTAATACAAAGCTACACATCCCTTGAGGGCCATTGACCTGAGGCTCTGGAATGCCTGGAATGCCTGGAGTGGCCTGCAGGTGAGATAAGAAGAGGATGATGGTGTGTGAGGTAGTAACAGCTGCCTTTGCTTCAGTACAGCCTGCTTAGTGATGTGGGAGAGGGATGAAATGGCCTTTTTATTACTATATAGCTCAAAAATAGGCAACAACTAAAGGAAGTGAAACAGTTTTCCCTCCCAGCTGTGGGTTCCACGCACAGCTGTAACGCACACCTTTCTGACATCTGCCTTAAAACATCACCTTAACCTCCCTTCCACACAGCCTTCTGTTTGGCTCTAAGGCTGCTGTCCTTCTGCTAGTTGTAAGAATAGACTCATTTAATCTAAATGTGAATTGAGCCTAAGTCTCTGGTTCCTCTCTGGTGGATTCCGATGCCACAACAAATCCATCCTTGTGAAAGAGGTCACATGTACTTTACAAAAGAGTTTCAATATATTCACTCCTTAAGCTTAATTGTGATAACTGTCACCGGGAAACTTTTTTTCCCAAAGTTGTACTGTATGTAAACATGTCTCAAACAAAACTGCCCAGGCTCAGACTCTAGAGTTTGAACAGCACTGGTTCCTGAACTATTTTGAACTAGATTTCCTTTGCACCTCATGAAAGTCACTACTCACCAGCTCTGGCTTTCCGAAAGACCCCCATAAGAAACCAGGCTGGCCTAGAATATGCATTCCTCCTCCTACCTCTGCCTCCTTCCAGCTGAGGCGCCTGATTCTCTGCAGCAGGATGCAATGGCCTCTGTTCTTACCCTGTTTACAGACGGAGGAGCTGAGGGATGAGGAAGCTGAGTGGGAATTTAAGCACAATTGGGTCAGCCTCTGGCCCAAGCCCCTAAGCGTAGCTTCTCCATGTCAGGCTGGCTAGCTTCAGGCCCCTCAGGGAGTTGCATCTCATGGGTTTGGGATCTTGAGCTTGCAGGCCACGGGCTACAGGGACATGAGCATTGGGGAAGTCTTGGCTGTCTGTCCTTTCATCTGGCAGGCTGTCTCTCAGCCTGGGCACAAGAGACTGAACACACATATGTGTTCTGCAAGGCTCTGGGACAGCAGCATGTGCTGTATGAGGAGCAGGAGTGCTCAAGTCCCACAATTTAAGTCACCTGGAACAAATCCTTAGTGTTTCTTTTGATGAAAATAATAGGGAGGGAGTGGCTCCCTGGTAGCACACTTAGGCCTTCCATGCCTAAAGCCCAGGGTTGCATCCTCAGTTCTCCCTCCCCTTCCAAAAATGGCATTTATAAATTTACCTCATTTAGGGACTGGGAGGTTTTGGTGCTGGGGATTGAAACCAGGCCCTGAGCGTGCCAAGCAGATGCTCTGCCACAGGCCACAGGGATCCCCGCCCTCAGCCTCCTGAGCAAAGCCCGATTACAGCCACCCAGTTCTATAGCCCAGAATACGGTTGAAATCAAGATCCTCCTGCCTCAGATCCTCAAATAGCTAGGATTACAGCCAGACACCACCACGTCTAGATATTTCCTCTTTTCTAATTCACTGTACAGTGTGTTTTCATGCACACACGCACACGTGCACACACGCACACACACAATAACTTAAGAATACCTATGGGGCTGAAAAGATGGCTCAGCAATTAAGAGCACTGATTGCTCTTGCAGAAGACCTGGGTTTGATTCTCAGAACCCATAGTGGCGTACCACCATCCCTAGGGGATTCTAGCAAATCTGGTGCCCTCTTCTGCCTCCAGGGGCACTGTATGCAAACAGTCCATATGCATGCCTTCAGTCAAAACACACATACACATAAAATAAAAATAAATAAAACTCAGAAGAGGCGGAGGAAGGGAAGGGAGAGCACCTGTGTCCAGAAAGGAGCCGGGTTCCGCAGGCTGACTCCTTTCCTGTTCCTCCTTGAGGTTTCTTCCAGAAGCAGCCACAGGTCCTGGTCTCATAGCCTCTGGTAAGGCTGGGAGGGGAGAAGTGCTCTCAGGAAGTGGCTTCCCTGGAACGAGGTATAAAAGACATTGTTATTTTCCATGTCCAGGGGAACCATGGAGAGGCAGATCTGGAAGTCAGGAGCTTGGGGTTCAACCCTGCCTCAGTACAAATTCTCACTGCACCTCATGAGTTTTTCCTGTCTGAGCCATGGCCTGCCCATCTGTCCACTGGAGTGATGGGCTGTGACGATCAGATGGTTTGGCTCTGACATTCTGAAACACACACACACACATACACAAACAGAGCTTCTGACTTGGTTAGTTGTGTAGCTTCAGAAAAGTCACTTTCCATCTGATCTGTGAACCTCCTACAAGATGGAGACCATTCCGGCTAGAGAGATGGCTCAGCAGTTAAGAGCAATTACTGTTCTTACAGAGAATCTGGGTTCTGTTCCCAGCACCAGCCCATGGCAATGCACAACTGTCTGTAACTCCAGTTCCAGGGGATCCAATGTCCTCACAAGCACCAGGCATGCCCATGGTGCAGACATGTATGTAAACACTCATGCACATAAAATAAACAGGGACTGAAGAGATGGCTCAGTGGTTAAGAGCCACTGCTGATCTTCTGGAGGACCCAGGTTTGATTCCCAGCACCCATATGATGGTTCATAACTCTCTGTAACTGTATTTCCTGGGGATCCCACGCCCTTTTCTGGCCTCTGCAACACCATGCATGCAGGTGGTACACACATACATGCAGGCAAAACACTCATACACATAAAATACAAATAAATACATCTTTAAAAATAAGTAAATTTAAAACAATGGAAGCCAGGCACACTTGTAATCCCAGCACTCAGGGAAGCAGAGGCAGGCGGATTTCTGTGAGTTCGAGGCCGGCCTGGTCTACAGAGTGAGTTCCAGGACGGGCAGGGCTACACAGGAGAAACCCTGCATCAAAAAAACAAAGCAAACAAACAAAACAAATGAAGACCACGAAAGTAATGCCTGCTTGCCTCCTTCCCAGGGCTGCCGTGAGCGGAGAAGTGAGAGCTCAGGTGTTGCCAACACAGTGCGTTTGCAAGGGCCAAAAAACAAGGCCACAGCCCTTTGCTCAAGGTCCTGGGCTCTCGGGGTGGATCCATATGTGAAACAACAACAATAAAAGCCCACAGGGGATAGGAATCCTCTTCTATCTTCCTCCCGCACTATATGCAGGTGGTGCATATACATGACACAGGCAAAACACTAAAATAAGCCAGCCATTGTGGCACTCGCCTTCAGTGCCAGCACTGGGGAAGCAGAGGATCTCTGTAAGTTCTAGGCCATCCAGGGTTACACAATGATACCTTGTCCCCAAAAAAACAACAAATCTCGAGCACTGGAAAGATGTCTCATTGTAGGAGAGTGTACTGCTCATGCAGAGGACCCAGATTAGGAACATCAGATGGCTCATAATCATGTGTAACTAGATACAGCGGATCTAACCTCTCCGGCCTCTGAGGTCACCTGCACTCACACACACACACACACACACACACACACACACACACACACACACTATACATACACATATCAACAGCTCAGTTATTCAGTCTCTCAGCAGCGCCAGGCTGAGCTGGAGTGAAAGAATCCCAGAATCGTTTGCTCCAAGTGATAAATGGAGTTTCTCAAAACAAAGCATTGCTGCAGAAGTCGGTTGGCAAACCCAAGCTTTGGTACTACAACAGATCCTATTCATCTGGCGCTGCGCTTTCACAAAAGCTGGCACATGTACCTAGTTTCCATAGCAACTTCTCCGGCAGTTAACAGAGTTACTTGCATGCACGCATTTACTTTTTAAATTATCAATAGGACTGAGGTTGGAAGTCAAGCCCTCAAGATAGGCTGGGCAAGCAAGCTGTCACAGAGCTATACCCCAGCACTCTCCCATTACACTCTAATCACCTCTATAAGCCAAGTCTGTTGACTCCTCTTTGTACTCCTAGCACTCAGGAGGCTGGATTCGGAAATTCAGCCTGAGCAATTTAGTGAGCTTGTATTAAAATAAAGGGAGGGGAGTGATCTAGGAAGATAACTCTCTGAGAGAGTGTTTTCACTAGAAAGTGTGAGGCCCTGGGCTGAAGGGATGGCTCAGTGGTTAAGAGCACTGGCTGCTCTCCCAGAGGTCCTGAGTTCAATTCCCAGCAACCACATGTGGCTCACAACCATCTGTAATGGAATCTGATTCCCTCTTCTGGTGTGCACGCAAACAGAGCACTCATATATGTAAAATAAATAAATCTTTAACATTAAGAAGGAAGGAAAGAAAAAAGTGTGGGGCCCCAAACTCAGTCCCTAATAGCAAAATCCCCCACTGTCTGTGACCCCACTCCAGTCCAAGTTCCCACGGGAGAAGGTGCAGTCCCTGCGCGATTAGGAACGAGGTACAGTGAGGTCACTGGGAGGTTCTGGGAATTTAGGACAACAAAAGGCTAAATGGGAGGCAGAAGCAGGCAGATCTCTGTAAGTTCAAGGCTGTGAGTTCGAGGCCAGCCTGGTCTACATAGTGAGTTCCAGGAGAGTCAAAGCTAAAGGTACACACAGCCTAAGCTAAAGCCCTGTCTTGGAAAAAAAAAAAAAGAAAAAAGAAAGAATCTGATGGAAATTACAGTTACTTCCCCCTGAGTACTGTAGATGGCAGAATCCTCTATTGAGTTTTTTTTTTTTAATTATATTTATTTATTTGGCCATGTGTGTAGGTCAGAGAAGAACTTTTGGGAATTGATTCTCTCCTTACACTATATGGGTTCCAGAGACCAGAGTTAGGTCGTTAGGTTGGCAGCAAACACCCTCACCCACCACGCCAGTTCACTGGCCCACATCCCTCTTTTAAATAAGCCTGTCGTAGGCCTGGCATGATTAAAGGCACCTGGCACCTAGAAGACAGAGACAGGAGGATCCCTGTGAGGTCGGTCTGCTGGTCAGAGCAAGTTCCATGACTACCTAGAGACCATCTCAAAAAGCAAAGAATGGAAAAATGAAAAGCCTGTCTTACGAAAGCAGAAGCAAGCACCAGCTCCATCCCTTCCCCGCTGAGATCACTCTGGACCACTTCCCAGAGGGTGAGGGCAGCTAGCCAGAGTGGATCAGCAGGCCTGTAATCCTAGCATCAAGAGGCAAGGGATAACCAGAAGTCTGAAGCTAGCCTGAGTTATACAGTTAGATCCTGCCTCAAGAGAGAGAGGGGGGAGAGTCGGGGATATAGTGCAACAGGGCAGTATTTGCCTAATATATATGATGCCCTGGTTTAATGCAAAGCACTAATGATGAGAGAGAGTTGATGAGAGAGAGAGAGAGAGAAAGAGAAAGAGAAAGAATAAGAATGAGAAAAAGAGGAAAAGGGACAGTATAAACAAACTGTTTCACTCAAATAAGAAAAATGCCAAACATAGTGGTGCACACATTTAATGCCAGCACTCAGGGGACAAAGGCAGGTGAACCTCTGTGACCTCTACATAGGAGTTCCAGGACAGCCAGGGCTACATAGTGAGACCCTGTCTTGAACAACAACAAAATCCTGTGGGTTGCTCAGCTTCCAAACTGAGCTGGGTAGAGCAGGTTAGAAGCCCTAGGCTTTCACTGAACTCTTAAAACTTTTAAGCATTCTGACATCTTCGTGGTAGCCAGTAGATAAACGACCTGCAGCCAGCAAGATGGCTCAGTGGGTAAAGACACCTACAGCCAAATCAAACTCAGGTTTGATTTGGGCCCTGGGCCCACATGGTAAAAGATGACACAGACTACTGCAAGTTGTCCCCTGTCCTTCCCATGCACCCCATGAAACATGCATGCATGTATGAACGTGCACACATACACACATACAATAAGTAAATAATAAGTACATGTAAAAAAAAAACTTTTACATATGACTTAAATAGACATGGTGGCACACGCCTTTGATCCCAGCACTTGGGAGGCAGAGGCAGGTGGATCTCTGTGAGCTCAAGGCCAGCCTGGTCTACAGAGCAAGTTCCAGAACAGCCAGGACTACATATCAAGAACCTGTCTCAAAATAAAAACAAAAATTAACAAAATCAGAGAGAGAGATGGACAGTAAGGGTTTTCAAACACTCAAGCTGGGTGGGGAGCCTAGGAACAAGAACGTCAATCTGGGGAGCAAGCACAGTGAGGGGTCCATTTGCTGGCTCTGCCCATGACAGTGCAGAGAACCACCCAGTCTCATGGCTACTACCCCAGCCTTAGTCCAGTTCCCTCCACGGCCCTATAAAAACTCTAGAGAAGCAAGTTTGACACCATTTTCCTCTCTTGGAAAGCCACTCCCTCGCAGGAGTTTCTCTTACTTTTCCTCAGTTTCACATGATTCTATAATTGTTTCTTTTTTCTAGATTTCTTTTTATCTACGTGTATGTGTGTATGGCACATGTGTGTATAGCCTTCAGGGGGCATAAGATGGCGTCAGGTCCGCTGGAGCTGGAATTACAGGCAGCTGTGAGCCACCTAATTGTGAGTGCTGGGAACTGAACTCAGGTCCTCCAAGAAGCGCTCTTAACCCCTGGGCCATCTCTCCAACACTGTTCCATCCTGGTCATTTAGGAAATGTGCGTTGTTTTCGTTTTTAAATAATTTATTTATTTGTATTTTACGTACATTGGTGTTTTGACTGCATGTATGTCTGTGTGAGGGTGTCGGATCCGAGGGGTTATAGACAGTTGTGAGCTGCCATGTGGGTGCTGGGAATTAACCCCGGTCTTCTGAAAGAGTGGTCAGTGCTCTTAACCATTGAGCCATCTCTCCAGCCCCTGTGTTTTGTTTTGGTTATTTTGTTGTTATTTGGGTTAGAGTTTTTGGTTTTTGTTTTGTTCGTTTGTTGAGAGAGGGTCTCCTGTAGTCCAGGTTGTCCTCAAACCAACCACGAACTGAGAGCAAACTCCCGATCCCTATGCTTCCACCCACAAGTAGGGGGCTCAGGGAACGGCGTTTGTGGGTCACGTCACCTGGAATGCAGTCTCTAAGGCAGCCACTTCCCCGTGGCAGCCAAACCACACAGTCTCTGCCTTGA